AGGCTGGGGTAGACTTGATCATCATGGAAGATCCTGCTCTCTGTCACGTGGCTTTCAAATCAATTATTTCTAAACAAGAAGTTTATTTGCTCATGCACCAGTTTTCCATCAGCCCACAACTCGAGTTTCTTTATCTTTAATGATTTATTTTTATTGGAAAGGCAGATTTGCAGAGAGAGGAGAGACAGAAAGAAAGATATTCCATCCACTGATTTACTCCCCAAGTGTACCCAGCTGAGCCAATTTGAAGCCAATAGCCAGGAGCTCGCTCCGGGTCTTCCATGCAGGTGCAGGGTCCCACGGCTTCAGACTGCTTTCCCAGGCTACAGGCTGGGAGCTGGATGGGAAGCGGAGCAGCTGGGACATAAACCACTAGGCTATTGCGCTAGGCTCAAGTCTCTTAATACACAAACCTTAAAGGCATCCTTGGATTTTCAGTCGGTTTCTGCCCCATCAAGGATTCCTGCGGTGCTACCGCCAAACACTCTACCACCCATCCACATCCGCTCATGCCTTTGCCCCCTGCTGGTCATGGTCACCACTTGCTTCCACTGGAGCTGCTGGGGTAGAATTCTCTCTGTTCTCTTGGCTCTTCTTGTCCCTTCCTATCCATGTGCCACGCCACAGCAGCAGAGTTGTGTCAGCCTTGAGGACCCTGCTGCATGGGGCTCCCAGTGACAGTGCATCCTGCTTCACTCCCCCTGCTCACTGCAGTCTCATTACACGTGTGTTACAGAATGCTGAAATGGCTCTGCTGCTGTGGTGTGCTGGTCCTCAGCCCCGCCCTTCCTGCCCTCCTCGAGAAACAGGCCTCGGAGCTGGGGTTCGGCCTAGTGATTGAGAAACCCATGCCGCACGTTGGAGGGCCTATCCTCAATGCCTGGCTACGGCTCTTGACCCCAGTTTCCTTCGGAGACAGATCTTGGGGGACAACAGTGCAAACTTGCTTTATTGGGTTCCTGCTACCTGCTTGCTGTACTTGGAGTGAATCCCTGGCCCTGAGCTGGCCTTTGCCCAGTACTGCCTGTTGAGGACATTTGAGGAGTGAATCCAGAGGATAGGAGCTCTTTCTGCCTCTCAAATAAATACAAAATTTTAAGATAAAGAAAAGCAGTCTTAGTCCCTTCCCCATTTATCTTGGCTGTCCTCAACACTTGTTTCACGGACAGTGTGGGAAATGACCCTGTGAAGCTCCCGAGTCGAGCCCAGATGCCTTGCGCTCTCCGCCCTGCTCTGCTGGAACACTTCTCTGGGAACCCTGGAGGACTATGTATGGATTTCATCCACTGGCATCACCATGTTGAGGAGGCCACACACAGGACTGTTGCCCAGCTGAGCCCTGTCTTTCTTATCCAACCGAAGCACCGTACCTGGCACTAAAGCTACCTTGGGCTCTCCAGACAGTCTCCATGTGCCAGCTCAAGAACATCTCAGCTTTTACAGGTATTGGCTTATCACGTGCAACAAAATTATCTGACTTGGCTCAAAGTTTCTCTTCTAGAAAATCTTCACATAGAATAAAGTGCTGTTAGTTTAAGAATCACATTTTTGGATGATTTGCCAGGTGTTTTTTTTTTTTCTCCTCCATCTCTGAGCCAGGAAACATGCATGTTTCTGGAATATGCTTCCCCACTCCTTCCTGGATCCTTCCTCTTTTGTTCTTCAGGTTAAATGTAACTCAAAGTGTGCGCTTTTATCCCCGCACTATTAGAGGTCAAAAGTATTACAACAGGACTGTAAATGTTCTTTGTGTATTTGCTGGTTAACACTTAACAGGCAGGTAAGGCTCACATGCAGTTCTCCCCACTAGAGGAGAAGTAATGAGGTCCAGTCCGGAGGCCAGCATCACCCGCTCCCTTTTTAAATCAAAGTGTGTGAACACACCCACATACAGGATGCTGTGTATTGTCTGTGTGTACAGTGGAATGTAATACATGTATTTCTATGCACTTTTTTGAAAGAATGAATTTATTGAAAATAATACATATCTTAAGACATTGTATTTTATGTAGTGAAAGTACTACCAGAAAGAAAATAGAGCATGCATGTTTGTATCCACCAAACCTCAAATGATGCATTAAAAAGTTTGAAAAATTTTTTTTTCAAAATTCAGGAAGAAATTGATCTAATTTTTGTATTTACAAACTTCTCCAAGTCTTTGATGGATAAATGGATGTGTAGAGGGTATTAACTTTGAAAAGGAGAGTGGTTTGAGCTGGCCTGCGGGACAGGAGGAGAGGCTGCACATTTTCCATCTGCATTTGTGCATTGACAGATAACTGTGTCAGTGTCATATCTTTGCTGTTGTGAGGGCTGCAATGAACGTGGGGCTGCAGCTGTGTCCTTCTTGTGCTGATGGCGTTTCCTTTGGGTATATTCCCAGAAGTGCAATAGCTGGACCATATGACAAATCAGCTTTTCGTTTTCCGGAGGAGCCTCCATTTTGTTTTCCATAATAGCTGTACTAATTTGCAGGGTTCCCATCTGTCCACAACCTTGCCAGCATTTGTTATGTTTTTTTTTTCTTTCTAATAACAGCCATGCTAATTGGAAGGAGGTGAAGCCTCACTGTGGTTTTATTTGCATTTCCATGAGAGCTAGTGGACAGAACATTTCTTCCTATGCTGGTTAGCCATCTGTGTTTTTCCTTTTGAAAAATATCTACTTCGATTCTTGGCCATTTTCTTCTCGGAATTATTGCACATGGAATTAGTTGCTTTCTTATGGAGCGTATCAAGTTCCTCATATAATTTGCATATTAACCATTGATTGGATGATAACATTTTCCCACCATGTGAGTTACCACTGTTGTTTCCTTTCGGATACATGGGTGCAGGTTCCCAAGGACTTGGGCCATTTTCCACTACTTTTGTAGGCAGAGGATTGGTCTGATGAGCCACTGTGCTGGCCCCTGGCTGGGAGACTCCTACTGTCTCAATCTCATCATTTCTCAGTCTGTTTAGGTTATACATGTCTTGATGATTTAGTTTTGATAAGTTATGTATTCCCCAAAATGTATCTGTCTCTTCAAGTTACACGGCAACGTATTGCAAGATGCTTTGTAGTTCTGTGTCAGTTATAATATCTGTTTTTATCATTTCTGTTGAGTCTTTTCATTTCAGCTCGTGACTTATCAATTTTGCTGAGCTCCTGAAAGAACCACCTCCTTGTTTCATTCATCTTCTCTGTGTGTAGGCATAAGATTTCCTTATTTCAAAGGCAGAGTGACAGAGTAAAAGAACCAGTGAGAAAGAGCTCTTCCATCCTGTGGTCGCTCCCCAAATGATTACAATAACCAGGACCCTGGGAGTCATGGTGGATGGGGTCCAAGTACTTGGACTCCCCTGCACTGCTTCCCCAGGCCCATTCCAGGGCAACGGGCTGACAGTAGAGTAGCCAGCGCTGGAACTGCCAGCTAATCCACTGCACCACAATAGCAGCCCCGTTTTGTATTTTTTAAACTTGCATTTTATTTCTTCTCTAATTTTCATGTTATTTCTACTTATTTTGGTTTTGTCTTTTTTCTGGGCTCTTGGCATGCATTAAGTTACTTATTTGGTATATTTCCATTGTTAAAGATGTAGGTGCTTATTTCTAAAGTTTTCCGCTTAAGTTTTAGTCACGTCATGTTTCTATTTCTATGGTTTTACATTTATCATTTCTTCATCGACCCCTTGTTTATCCAGGAGAATATTATTCAGTCTCCATGTCTTTGTAAACTCGTTCGCAGTTTCTATTTTTTCCAATTTCCAATTTTACTCCACCATGATTAGAAAAGATGCATGGTATACTTTTGTTTTGAATCTGTGGAGTCTTGTTTTGTGAAATCACAAATGATCCACCCGAGGGAATACTGCATTTGCTGGTGGAACCGACATGTGCTCTGTGGCCACGGGATGGGATCGGCGTTCTGGAACGTGCACAGGTCCAGTAGGTCTCCTGGCGGGTTTAACGCTTGCTGTATTCTTTCTGGATGAGGTGTCCGTTGATGAAAACGGGGTGTCGGACACTTCTGTATTATTGTATTGGAACTTCCCTCTCCCTTTAGACTAAGTAATATTGGTTCTACAAAACTGGATGCTTTGATATTTGGGCGTATATACTCAAAATTATTACAGTTTCTTGAATGATCTGGTGTCTTCTGGTCTGTTTTGTCTGTCTTTAGTCACCATATTTGCTTTTTGTTTCTGTCACAAGGGAAATCTTCTATCCTTCACCTTGTCTCTGTGTATCTTTCCTGGGCAGTTTCTTGCAGGCAGCATATTGTTAGTCTCCTTTCTTTGTCTACCCAGGAAGCCTGTATCTATTAATTGGAAAATTTAATCCATTTCCATTCAAGGCTTTTATTGATAAGTAATGATTTTGTCCTGCCAATTTTCCTTTATAAAGTAAAACTAGAGGGGCCTGGCTCGGTAGCATAGTGGCTGAAGTTCTTGCCATGCATGTGCTGGAATCCCATATGAGCACAGGTTCTAATCCCGGCGGCCCCAATTCCCATCCAGCTCCCTGCTTGTGAGCTGGGAAAGCAATCAAGGATGGCACACAACCTTGGGACCCTGCACCTGTGTGGGAGACCCAGAAGAAGCTCCAGGCTCCTGGTTTCAGATCAGCTCAGCTCTAGTCATTGTGGCCGCTTAGGGAGTGAACCAGCGCTCTGTCTCTCCTCATCTCTGTATACCTGCCTTTTCAATAAAAATAAAATAGATCTTTTTTAAAAAAGAATAAGCCATCTCACAACGTGCCACATTTATACATTGATAACTTGAAGCTGAAACATCTCGAGGAATTGCAACTTTGAAGAAGGCCTTTGGCCTTATTTTCCTACACGCCGCAAGTCAGACGGGTTCTTTTCCAGGGGTGCGGTCCCCCACCTCAGTGGGAGATAGCCTTCCCATGAGAGGTTGGTGACTCGGGTGGAAGCAATCTAAATGAACTCACTGAAGACTCTTCTGTTTTGCTATCTTTTATACCTGCGCATGTTACTCCAGGCCAGCGAGTCCCTACTGAGACTCACGCGTGGAAGTCTTAGGGCTGGAGCTGGAAGCAGAATCCACCAGTCCCAAGTCGTGGAGGGCTTCCTGGAGCTGCTCCCGGGCAGTGCCAATAAAGGAGTTCTTGAGGAAGGCGGGCAGGCCTCCCACTCCGTCACGCAGCGTGTACAGGGGCACCCGCACCAGGCCCAGCACCTGCAAAAGGAGGGAGATGGGAAGACACCAGGGTCCCTGAGGGCTCCCACCCCGAAATAAATCCCCACAGAGGGGGGGAACTTCTGGCCCTTGGGCCAAGAAATTATTTGGTCCAGTCCTGCTAAGACAACCACAAACTGGACTGAAAAATTCAGTAAATTGATAACAAACTAATTTTTAGGTTGAACATGTTTTTTTTTTTATACCCATACACGAGGGTATAAAACATCCATATGGCCTAGGGCCCTTGGCGGATAACAGGTCGCCCACCTCCGGCAGATCTTTCTAGATCAGTGGTCTCACCTCTCTTAAAATCACAGCAGAAGCAGCCCCACTGCTCACATCTCAGTGAGGCCCAGCAAGTGGGCCCACGCCTCCACAGGCCAACGTCCTGTTAACCAGCTCCATCAACTTTAATCCTACTCACATCTCTCCCACACCCTTAGCAGCAAGATGCACATGTTTGGTGATCCTTCCACGGGAGGGCTGGGAGAAGGGGAAATGTGGTGCACCGCAAGGCCCCAGACTGGCCCCACCTCCAGCCCATATTCCCGGGCCCGTGGGGCACTGGCCTCCACTGCCACCAGCTGCTCCAGCTCCAACTGCTTCGTGTAAAAGTGTGCCACGACTTGCTGTGCCACTGCGGCATCCGAGCTGCGGTAGTTGGCGCGCTCCACGCGGAAGGCCGACGCCGCCTCGCCCAGCCGTTTCCGTAGCTCCCGGTTCAGCCCGTCCTCCAGGCAGCTGTCCTGTGAGTCCACGAAGCCACCGGGAAAGCCCAGGCGCCCATCGAAGCGCATCTGCATCTGCGGGATGGGAGGTGGGATGGGGTTGGCCGCAGCGCCCCGCAGGTGTGCAGGGGTCGGGGCAGGGTGGTCAGGCGTGCCCTCCTCACCAGGACGGCGTAGCGGAGCGGGATGCGGCCGAAGAGCTTGCCCGGGTCAGGTGCATAGAGCATGGCGTGGCACGCGTGCCTCCAGATGGGCCCAAGCGCCAGAGCCTCGGCTAGATCCAACTTGCTGGACTGCGCCATAATCAGGTTCTGGGAGACCAAGTGGGCAGGAGGGAGGATCGCAGTGTGGGCCAACCCAAGCGCCGACCGTAGAGCCTGGGCCAGTTCCTGCCTCGTCTTGGGGTGGGATCTAGGTCACTCCTAGAAGGCACCTATGATGGGCGTGGGCTTCAGCCATTCAGGGCAGGGTTTGCAGTCAGGTTTTAAAACAAGGAAGGGAATAGGCTCAGCCTTAGGGCCAGCACGTGGCTGGAGGTGTGACAGGGCTCACAGCCTAAGCCGGACCTGTGACAGGTTGCTGACGTAACAGTCTGGAGTCCACGGAATTCTCTGGAACGCCAGAGAGCTGGGAGACTTGTTGACGCTCTGTGTTGAGTCGTGCGAGCTGAAGAAACAAGCTTGGTCAAGCTGACGACTCCAGCTGGCACAGCCGGAGTAGGGGAGCTGAAGGCAGGGTTTTTGGCCTCAGTGGAAGTCGCGGGCAGACAGAAACGGGAAGGGGTACAGCTACAGGTCGCTGTTGACAGGAAACGGGGGCTTGGCAGTGGCCTTGGTCAAACATCAGCATCTCTTTGCACAAAGTCTATGGAATGGATCTTCAAAAAGTTTGTGGACAACATGCATTGTGAAACAAACAGTTCTTGGATTTAAAAAAATTTTTTTACAAGAATAAACTTTTCTTAGATTTTCCAACAAATTATCTGAGGTCGCCATGGAAAACTTTGTAACAACTGTCTCATCCAGGGCTCCATATAGGCTAGGTGGAAAAGGGTGCAGGGGCCTGGGTGATCATTAAATAGCCAGTGTTGAGAACCACTGCCCCTCCACACCCCCAGCACCCCAAAATGCACCGTGTATTCTCTGTTCTGTGGATCAGCTTTAAGAGTTTAGTGCTGGCCACACCCTTTCAGAGCTTGGACTCATAGTTGCCTGAGGAGGTTTTCAAGTTGGATTCAGCTGTTTCTAATGCAACATGAAAATCTATAAAAGCACCAAAGGCTGTGAAGTGCACCAAAAGGGGTGTGTGTGTGTGTGTGTGTGTGTGTGTGTGAGAGAGAGAGAGAGAGAGAAACAATGATGAGAATATGTGAAAGAGACAGGGACATATCACTAAAAGAATTCCAAATAGCTAAAACTTACAACAAAAGAATTTAGGATTGTAACCCAGAGTATAAAACCAGCAGTTACCCATCTTTCCTGACAGTCTCTGATGACTCCTAAGTACAAATACAAGAGAAGACACAATACCTCATGCAGAAGAATGAAGACTTACTGTGCAACAGCCCCCTCACAAGAACATGAGGCCCTTGTTGGATAATCGCGACCCCAAAATCCCACTTCTAACTACCAGCTACTGGAGATGAGGAGTTTAGCATAGGAGTTTGGTGGCTGGGGCAGCAGGGAAACGAAAACTACCTGTCCAACAGTCATAAAGTGCAATGAAATTCTCAGAGCCAACTCCGAAGGGCCCAGTGAGCTCACAACATACAGAATATGTCCCTGCTCCTTTCACATGTTCTCCACATTGTGAATGCAGTGAGGTCTCCTGGAACAGAAACAGGACATTGAACCACCGCTGAGGGATTTTCAATAAAGGGACGATGTGGCTTAGTACTTACGTGTCCCCATGGACTCGTTGTTTTAAGAAATGTACCAGGATAGTGCAGGATTCCAATCACAGGAACAACCGGGTGATGTAAACAGGAGTGCTATTGTCTTCATAATACCTCTGCAAATGTAAAACACCCAGAAAATGAAGACTGTTTTTAACAAAGCAGGGGGACACGCAGTGAAACCTGGACTGAAGGAGCTTTTACAGGACAGATTACCCGGTGTTTTCGATAAATTAATTACAAGCAGAAGAGAGACCTGGTGGGTAGAAATGCAGACATCAGAAGAGATTCTGAGAAGTCAGCGTTGAAGGGATGGGCTTTAGTTGGAATCTATCATGAACTGACTTGAAAGAAACATTCACACAGTGGGGTCTTGAGATTACTGATCAGACATTTAATATATAGAAAGCGTTGATCATTGTTGGAGCTGTAGTAATGGTATTGTGGTTACTTTTTAGAGGGACACGCTGAAATATTTATGAATGACTACAAAAATAACTCCGCGAGGGACTAGAGGCTGAATGCATAAATAAAATAAAATTGGTCATGAATGGATAGTTTTTGAAGCAGAATTATGGGTCCACTAAAAGCTTATTATATTATTCCCTTTTCATTTATACAGTTAGGTATTTTCTATAATAAAACGTTAAAAATAAAGAAAAGGTCTTTTGCGATTCCTGAAGTGAAAGGTTGCAATTTACATTTGAATAAAGCTTTTCATCTCACAGACCCTTTTCCCCAGCAGGATCTGTGAAGTGGGGCAGGGAGAGAGTGGTAAGGGCCTAGTTCCAGGACGGAAGACGACATCTGACACCTGCCATCTGTCAGGGGAGTTCTCAAGGAACCCTCTTCAGGTGTCTCCTAGGGTGAATGCAAGGTGCTGGTTGAGAATCACTGGTTTTGAAGAACACTGGATAGGGGCAGGTGGACGTGTCCTCAGCCCAGTGGAGAGAAGGTTTGCAGAGCAGGGCTTGGTGAAAGGGTTGAGCGCTGTTATGTCAGAACCTGGATGAGTCTGGATTTGTCCATAGACACAAGGAAGCCAAAGAAAGAAGCCAGTGTCTTCACAGGAGAGATTGTGAAGACACTGCCAAGAAAGGAGTCGGGAGCAATGCTCAGATCTGACTTTCTACATGGTTTGTGCCAATGACACTTACTGTGCAGGGAGTAAGAGGTGGAGATGATCAGGAGAACTAAATACATTTAGTAATGAATAAATCTTCAAATGTTGCACCAAGCTGGGGAGGAAACACACACACACACACACACACACACACACACACACACACAGAGGAGAATCACCTTTGGGATTCTTAAATCCAGGTCGTCACATTTATTATCGTGCTGATTAGTTACAGAAGAGCAAAAGCAGACCAAAAACACATCAGCAAAGGCCAGTGTGTCTGACTCCTGGGCAGTTCAGCCCTGGGGGCGAGGGTTGGTACTCAACCACCCTCACCAGAAAGCCATTCCCAGTTCAAGGATATATAAGACAGTGGTCCCGAGTTCTGTCCTCCGTCCAGCTGGAGACAGCCCTGGACCATCATCGAGGGGGTCAGTCCTGTGGGAACCCTGAGGGTACAAGTGCAAGAATTGCTTCTCTACCCCAGATGTGATGGGTGAGCAGTTATCAGAATCTAGGCTGGACAAAGGACACAGCACTGTGAGTGCGGTCAATCTTGTGTCTTTCTCTGTAGGAGTCATCCCTTGAAACAAGAATTTGAAACTTGTACCATTTTCCTATCAAGTGCACTTGAAGCATTCGGTGGATTTTCACAATTTGTTCCCTTGGACTTCTTGCTGTTCTGGAAAGCTCTTTAGAGATGGTTCTAAAAGGTGGAATCTTTCCCAACGGTGATTCGTAATTGCTCCTCAAAGTAGAGGAGCTGGTCAACTTCAAAACAGTCGCTAGCCCGTGGCACCATCATTTCCAGACGGTCCCGGATCTCTGCTTCGCTGGCGTTCTCACGCCTTGCTCTCTTGAGGTAAGTGTAGACTTGCTCAAAAACTTCTGCTCCCAACTTCTGCTTGGCTGATCTGCCAGAAAAGCAAGGAAAGAGGATAAGCAGTCGTACATGGAGGTCACCCACAAGAAAGTGCATCTTTACACCGTTGATTTCACAAATAATACCATTTGAGGGGTTGGGAGGGGAATAAGGCAGGGTACAGTCTCTGAAGGTGGGCGCAAGAAGCAAGGCAAGCAGTAGTATTGACCAGATCAGACTACAGCACCTGCCAGCATACGTGTGGCTCAGGTCTGGAGCGGGCCAGGCTGGGCCGGTTCATAACACCCACTGGCACATATGAGAACCAGGATGGGGTGCAGCACAGGCTGGGTCTTGCAGGGAGAAGGAGAAATAGAAAGATCTTCCATCTGTTGGTTCACTCTCAAAATGGCTGCAACATCTGGAGCTGAGCCGATCCAGAATTGGGGGATACAGAAGTCAAAACACTTGTTATAAAGCTTCTAATCAACAACGAGAAGCATGCAATACAGAAGTTCAAGGAATTTAAGGAATATGTCACACAGGAAATGAGTCAAATGAAAGCTGATTTATCAGAAATTAAGACTACAGTGGAGCAAATTAAAAGTTCAGTAAAGAGCCTCCAAAATAGAATGAAGGAGGCAGAAGATAAAAACCTCAGAATTGGAAGATATTTCCTGTTACCAGGAGGAAACAAACAAAAACCTGAAAGCAGAGCTGGGTCAAGCTAAAAAACATATTCAAGAACTGAAAGATATTATTAAAAGGCCAAATAGAAGAGTTATGGGAGTCCCAGAAGGTGTGAAAGAGAAGCTAGGTTTAAAAATGTGTTCAATGAAATAATAAGGGAAAATTTCCCTAATGTAGAGAAACAATTGGGAAACAACGTCCAGGAAGGGCACAGAACTCCTAACAGTGTTGACCAAAAGGCAAATCTTTCCTTTTAAAGATTTACATATTTTTATTTAAAAGGCATATTTTTTTACAGAGAGAGGCCTTCCATTCACTGGTTCACTCTACAAATGGCCACAATCACCAGAGCTGAGCTGACCCAAAGCCAGGAGCCAGGAGCTTCCTTCAAGTCTCCCAGGTCAGAATCCAGGGTGCCAAGGACTTGATCATCCTCCATTGCTTTCCTAGGCCATAAGCAGGAAGCTGCATTGGAAGTGGAACAGCAAGGACATGATCTGGTGCCCAAATGGGGTGCTGGCACTGCAGGTGCAGGATTAGCCAGCTACGTCACTGCACCAGCCCCCTTATATCAGCAAATCTTACGGAACTCCTCAAACTATGTGAAATACACCATATTTTTCCACTTTAAACTTTTGATCCATCAAAGATTGAACCACAGACCTGTTTCCTGGAGCTTAATATATAGATTATACCTGCCACAGTTCTTGCCACATATAGTTACCCAAAGGAACTCATTCGAATCCACGCTGCTTCACATTGCACTCAGAGACACATCCACTTAGCACATGTCCGGATGTTCCAACAATGTTAGTTTTCTGTGACAGCTTCTGAAGCTTACTGCCAATTTTTGTTCTATTTGTGCAGACTGGTGACAAGTGTCCAATCTGATTTATCAGACCATGCATGATAATCTCCTCCCTTCTGTACCAGCCTCATCTGCACCCTCGGTCACTGTGCTCCAAACACACCTAGCTGCTCGATGTTCCTCAAACACAGTAAAGTCGCTTTGCACCTTTGGGCTTTTACCTTGGGTCTCTTCCTTAGAGTGCTTTTTCATTGACTTTCACGACCCTGCCTCCTTACTGTCATTCGAATCTCAGCTTACATCTCATATCTATAGAGAAACCCTTTCTTACCAACATAAAGTAACTGCTTAGTTACTCCACTGGGCTGCACTGTGTTACTGCATAGCTCTTACAACTCTGGCGGTTTTCTTGTATCTTTTTTTGGTGTATCATTTCTCTGTTGTCCAACTCTCCCTGTCCCCCTATTAGCATACAAATCCAACGAGGGAGGGATTCAGTGTTGACAACAGGGCTGGGCATGTAGTAGGGACGCACTGCAGCCATATTGTGAAAGAAACATAAAGTCCTATGAGAGTTTGCAGCTGGGGAAATCAGAGAACCATCATGATGTAGGAGTTATTTAACACGGAACCGTACAGCTCCCGGCAAAACTGAGTGGGAGCCAACAGTGAGAGTATGAGGGATTCACAGGGTCAGTCTGGCAGGTGAGCATGACATATGGTGATGAGATCCGGGTGAACATGATATTAAAGAGATCATTAAATACTGGTGATGAGAAAGCCGAAACTATGTCCCCTAAAGCCGTAACAGGGCTTTAGGGTTGACGAATCCCAGCTCTGTTATGAGTTATCCCCCCGATCTCCTATACTATGGCTGGATATTATTATTCTCATTTTGCAGATGGGAAAACTGAGATACACAGAAAGGTAAATCACTCTGCGCTCCCAGGGAGTCTCGGCAGTGCCACTCTGCGGCTTGGATTCTCTTACTGGAGTAAGAGAAATGGGGAGAATCTGAGCTCTGCCCTTCACTGGCCTTGTGATGCAGGCCAGCTACTGAAGGCGATGGTTAGAATCTCAGCGTTCCTCCCTCCAAAATTCACACGTGGACACAGTCCTCAGCGAGGGGAGGCTTGTCAGGCAAAACCTCCACGGATGTGATGACTACCACTACGCCAAAGATGGAAGGGGCATGTCCGCCCTTCCGCCGCCTGAAGACACACAGAAGCGCCGTGAGCGGGGAACAGGTGCTCACCAGATGCGGAATCTCCTGGTGCTTCACCTTGGAGCTCCCAGGGTCCAGAACTGACAGACACTCCTCCGGTGTCTAAATTACCCAGTCGAAGGTATTTTGTCAGAGCAGTGGGGAAAGACCCCTGTGACCCCTGACCGTTTCATAGTTAGTTGGAACTTTTATACAACCGCCCCCTGCCCCAGCCTGCCCCCCCACACACCTTCAGCAGACAGAATTCTGCCATCTACCAGGCGCTGGATGGTTACTGGTTTTGTTATCATACACATTTCCATTGCTTTCACAAAAGCGAATTGTGTAACAATCCTATTTCTGTTTAACTGGAAACTGTAAGCGAAATTGTAGTTCTATCCTTAGTTAAAGATGCCATTTTGAATGTCTTTTTCTCTACCCTGGATGTATTTGAGAAAGAAAAAAGACTCAAGGAGGTAAGTAGTACAGCAGTAGTAAAAAAAAAAAATGCAATTCCATTGAAATAGTCATGAAAACCTCATTTAGCAAAAAGCCCTAAGGAAACACAAGGATTATTCTTCAGGCACAGTTTAAGGAGACCCTGCAAATGACTTTACGAAAGCCAAGAGATCCCTGCACATCAAATATGCATGAGTCACTGCAGGAATAGAATGGTGGGGCATATTTTCCCTTTAATGCTGCCATTTCAAGGATCATTTGGTGCTAACAAGCATTGGGGAGCTTCATTAAGGATGAATTGGATACCCAGATGGGATGTGTGACTTTTCAGCGTTGTTTTCCTCTTGCTCTTTCTCCTGGGGCTGACTCTTAAAGGATGCATTTATTTCTTTGAAAGGCAGAAGTACACAAAGAAACACGCAGAGAAATTCATCTTCCATCAGTTGGTTCACTTCCCAGATGGCCGCAATGGTCCGTTGGGCCAGGAGAAAGGCAGGAGAGTCACCCAGGTCTCCCACGTGGGAGAATGGGTCCAAGCACTCGGCTCATCTTCCACTGCTTTCTCAGGCACATTTGCTGGGAGCTGGATAGAAGTGGAGCAACTGGGAATTGAACTGGCACACATATGGGATGCTGCATTACATGCATCAGCTTTGACCACTATGCCACAACTGCCGCCAGGGGAGGAGTTGCTCAGTTCAAATCCTGTTGAAGTTAACCATTCATAAAAGAGTGACTTAACTTTGAGACTGAAAAACTTTCCAGTGCTTGTAACTATAGTAAATGTAGCTGTAGGATTAGACTTACTTAAAAATGAAATCCTGCTAAGTTTCATTTTACAAGAGACATACCTGAAACATCAGAGCATTAAAAGGGTAAATTTTAACTTTGCAAAAAGAATACAAGGAAAACAATAACCAAATTAAATCTAGAGTGTGCACATTCATATACGACAAGCAAATTTTAATACCCAAAAAGCCATTTTAGGGATAAAGTAAACAATAAAATCACTGTATAACAACAGCTCAACTTACAAAGAAGAAGTAGAAATTCTAAGCTACTATACACAGAAGAACACAAAACAGAATTTATAAAGCATTGCAGAGAAACTGTCAGAGACATCTTTGTAGTGTAGAATTTCAACATATCTTGCTCAGCCACTAACAGATGAAGTATTCAAAATGTTAGGAATTGCTATGGTTTGAATATTTGTTCCCCTGTGGTGAGGTCTTATATCAGTGGCATACTAAGAGGGTGGAAACATAAATGCGGTATTTGGAGGAAGATGATTGGATTGGATTTGGACATTGATGTGGAATCCTGGTAGCTCTGTAAGACAGATGCAGACAGACACCTGTGCTACTTCTGGCCACGTCATGCTCCGTGCCACTTGGAGATTCAGTCAGCAAGAATGGTCATCAGCAGAGGCTGAATCAAGAAGGCCCCCCGATCTTGGACTGTGAACCTCCCGAACAGCAAGCCTGAATCAGCCTCCTTCCTTTAAACGTAGTTGCCTCGGGTATTTTGTTTAAGTGAGAAAAAACTAACGAATGCAGCAAAACCACAGATCTGAGTGGCAGACTCCATAAGCCGAACTTCAGACACACACACACACAGAGCCGTCTCCTTCCTGACCACAGGGAGTGCATGCTCTTCCAGGATCTCATGTAAAACTTGTAACAACTGACCATCCATAAGCAAATCAACTCTCAACAAATGCCAAATAATTGGTTTCATATGAAGTTTAGTAGTCTGACTGCATTAACAATTATTATCTATACACATAAGACAGATCTAAGATACAGATTAAACATTTCCACAGGTGAGCAAACTTGAAAACATTTTCTAAATAAGTTATGGTTCAAAAGAGACATCACGCATGCTATAAGCA